CAAACTTCACAATTAGGAGATGTCACTTTTTTCATTAAATAAGCAAATTTGTTTAATTTAACAAACATAATAGGCACCCAGTATTAGAGCTAAAACAACAATTGTCTTGAGACATAGTCTGAACGAAATCTTTCTATATCTGGTACAATAAAAAAATATATTTTTTTTAAGTTTTTCTTGTTTAGTGTGATAAGGAATGCTAACGTTATAACAAACAAACTACGTGTCGAAATTATCTTCGACATTTTCAGATTCATCTCGCACGTACTTTCGTAATGTTAAAATTGAATACATTTCGAGATTAGCTTTTCTTACGAGATATCGCTATAATCTTAACACGATACTGTCAAAGTGTAAAGATAAATTGATAACAGTATACAATTCGGCAACTCCTCGAAACATTGGTCGTATTGTAGCGATTATGAACCGTCTTGTTATTATGAAAAATCGTGAAAATGTAGTGTATTTGACAAGAAAAGTGATAGTATAGAGGTGCAGTAAAATTTTCAAGCAAAATACATATTTATATCAATAGTATTAAAGACAGTTTTGGATAAAGTGTCGGAGAGAAGCATCTAATAATTTGTGCAAGCAAATTATTAAGATTGTATTTGAGAAACTGATACACTCAAATCGTTTGCAAATCGCAAACAATTTCAGAGTGTAGCTTCTAAAAGAGGTCAAAATTATCTATTAGATATTATTAATAAATAAGAACAAGTACAAAGAATCGTAGAAGAAGAAAAGAACAAGTACAAAGAATCGTAGAAGATTAATTTATCAAACCAGAGACAATTCGTAAAGTAACTGACAATTGAAAACAAAATGGCGCCCATGTACGGACAAGCGAATTTCAATTTTCTAGATGAAGAAACTTCTGCTGAATATAAACAAGACAATGATAACCAAGTTGGTTTATCACAAATGGCATTCTGGTACATCATCGTGCTGGTGGCCATGCTCTGCCTTTGGCTCCTCACGTTCTTCTGCCTCAGAATGATCGCAATGGGTTCGTCAAATTAGATATTTTTCAGTTGAAAAGAATAAGAACTGGGTTTTTTGTCACTTAATCTGATTTTTATGTAATGTTAGACACAGGGGCGCGCCGTCCCCATACGGCGCCTGTGTGCGAAACCTATCAAATGCCTATTTTTCACAAATAATTTTAACCGAAATGAGAAGTAAATTCCTATAATAGCAAAATACTATAGAAATAAATAAAATTGGAGTGTCTGTTTGTAATATTGACATATGTAACTGTTTCTTACTACGTCCATATGAATATAAATACGGTACATATAAGAAAATAACATTTTTTTTAATTTTTGTCTGTCTGTCTGTTTGTTCCGGCTAATCTCTGAAATGGCTGGACTGATTTTGATGGGACTTCAATTGGCAGGTAGCTGATGTAATAAGGAGTAACTTAGACTACCTTTGTTATAGAAAACGCGTGTACAACTAATACTAACTAAATTCATAAATTTAGGTTTCTCTCTCTCTCTTTCAGTAGATTACTGTCCCTCCGTCTACATTATCATGTTATCTCTAATCAAATCCATAGTTACTATTGATAAGCACAAATTAACGTCACAAACTCCTGATATATTTTTTATAACAACATATTAATTTTAACGATAAACAATCATTAAAGCCGTGAAATTATAAATTATGACAATTGTATAATCAAATTGATAAATGTATGTAAGACAGAAACAGAGCAACAGTTCCGTATTTTTAAACACTCAATCAAGACGTGTTTGACGAGTTGAAAACACTTTTGTTTACATATAACTCGCTACTCGGCCCGGCGTTGCACGGGTGTACATGTATTATATATATAAACCTTCCTCTTGAATCACTCTATCATTCACCGCTTCAAAATCCGTTGCGTATTTTTAAAGATTTAAGCATACATAGAGACGGACGGACAGCGAAAGCGACTTTGTGTTATACTATGTAACGATGTGGATGAACAAATGTAAAGTGAAGAAAGTGCGAAAGTTCTAGAAAATGATTTGAATTTTATTGATTATTTTGAAATGGAAAATGCTAGTTCAGAAAGTGACAAGACTTTCAATGACAGTGTTATTGTAATAGACACAGGTCCTGAACATATATTGTTGTATATATTATTAGTGATAATTATACTAAAAGTGTGTGCATTCTTCATGTTGTGTTTACGGATATTATTATTGGGTAAAGTGAATATATTAAATTTTATTTAATTTCTTTTACGAATAAGACACATATATAATATTTAAAAGAGCAACACATAAGTTTCTTGCTCATTCTTCTTGTGATGAATCTGCGTTCCGAATGAGTGGTAGAATCAAAATATGACTATTCAAAAGTACTTGTAATGAGTTTATTTGAATAAAGATTATTTCTATTTCTCTATTCTTTACTGTACAGGAAAAAAACATCAGCAATTTGCAATTATTAGCTATCTATTCCAATAATTAATATCAATAATAATATATCAATTCAAACAGCGCCATCTAGACCCAAGTTAAGCTAGCTAAAGCTTGTGTTATGGGTACTAGCTAACTGATACAAATACATAGATATATTTCATAAATACATACATAATATACATAGAAAACACCCAGACCGATATAAACAATCGTACTCATGAATACAAATGTTTGTGCCGTGCGGAGAATCGAACCCGCGACCATCGGACGTAAAGCAGTGTGCTAGACCGCTGGAACACCGTGGTCTTCATCATTGTTAACTCAAACAATGTAGTGTTAGTGCTTACTATACTTAATTAAGTATGATTTATAGTTAATTTTAACAAATTATAGAAAAAATAATATTATTCACAATTCACAATGCAATAGATAGAAAACTAATGAAGGTAAAATATTCCCATCAAAAACATAAATGTGAAATGATAGCCGAGTTCAATATTATGATATATGCCTTGATTGTTGACTTCTACGACAAAAGAGGTGAGATCTAAATGGGTGCCAAGTTCAATGGTCTGTCCTGAAATGTATTTATAACAATATAAAATATCATTTCTTCTTATAACTTAGGATAATATACTGTAGCCTAAGGTCTGATAGGATTACTGTAGCCTAAAGTCTAACTTGGCCAGTTCTCATATACCAATTATTACTTTCGATTGCTAGTTACTACTAATAATAAAATAGGAACCGACAAGTAACATGTTTAGAACTTGCGAAGGCTACAGTATATTTCGTATATGAAAACTAGCCAAGTCAGACCTTAGGCTGATGAATTTGACAAGTTTATGTGAAAGAGTTTTTGAGTTATGTAGTTAGGGGGTCAAAAGTGGCTCCAAATGGTTCGTGTAATATACACACGGTGCTGCTCACCAGTTCTCTTACTTGAAACTCGGCTTTGACAAGGTACCGCGTGTCTAGATGTGATACAGATAAATAACATAATTAAAGTTTACTAATGTTAATAAAGTTTTTGATTTACTTATAATATTACCTGTCGAGTGTTGGGATAAGTTTATGATATAGTAATTTATACTTAACACCACTATAAATTACACTCGATTCACATCCAAAGGTAGTTAGTTCTACCGTTTAACTTGCATCCAATTAATTTCTCTTTTATTTCTTGTATTTCGATTTAATTCCACAAAATAATAACTGATCCTCATTTAACTCACATCCGACTTGGATAGGACCATGTTCTGGAGTAATCACAGCGGATTTTCTGGATTTTTTTTATTTAATATTGAAGGTCTATTCCGGAGAATATGCTTTGTATACAAATATTATTATTCTGCATTCCTTCTTTTGCAGATTACTTTGATAACAGCATAGAAACAAACTTCGATTCTTTTTTTTTCCCATATTCGTCCATCTCCTTTTCAGTGATGGAACAGGCAAAGATCCTTAGACCGTACAGCCTAGTCTAGTTTATACTTCTTCATATCAAACTTCGATTCTTTGATTTGACAATTGGCGTTATTTGACATTGACGTTTTGTTATTAGTCGTGTAATGTTTTTTTATTGATTGAATTTGTTTTTATACATACTTTGAATACAATATTATCATTCTGCACTCCTTCTCTATATCTGTACATATAAATAAAATTGGAGTGTCTGTTTGTAATATTGAAATAACCGTTTTTTACTACATGCATATGAATATAAATACGGTACATACACCTAAATAACATTTTTTTCAATTTTTGCCTGTCTGTCTGTTTGTTCCAGCTAATCTTTGAAATAGCTGGACCGATTTTGACTGGACTTTTTTTGGCAGGTAGCTGATGTAATAAGGAGTAACTTAGGCTACTTTTATTTTAGAAAAATTCTCTAATTAACTTTTTGTTCAATTCCAAGCGGACGAAGTCGCGAGTACAGCTAGTCTAAACTATTATTGCACCAATATAAATTTTTATTATCTCACTAAGGGCAGTTGATATCTTTGATAAAACTACGTACAAACAACTTATAAAACAATATAGATATTCTTTTCACGTACGTGGAAATAATTAAAACTTACGTTTTCTTCTGACACCAAAAATATGTTGTCTATATAAGTAATAAATATATAGTAATAAATCTATAATATATAAAAAATACTATGGTTTGCCCGCGGATTCACTCGCGTTAAATTTCAATAAAAATACAGCTTGTGTGTTATTCTGATGTATTAACTATATTACCGTAAAGTTTCATGAAAATCCGTTCAGTAGTTTTTGCGTGAAAGAGTAACAAACATACTTAAAAACTTTCGCGTTTATTTTTATTTTTATATGTATAAAAAATACGTGTCACGTTGTTTGTCCGCGATGGACTCCTAAACTACTGAACCGATTGCAAATTTGATTAGCACATTGTGTGCAATTTGATCCAACTTGAAAGATAGGATAGCTTACATCTCAATTTATACTCGCAATATTATTTTTATATATAAAGAAACTAGCACAGCAACGCGTGGCCGGGTCTGCTAGTAATATTATATATTAAGATTATAACAATCCTTATGATGATTCTTTTTATTTCAGGACAAAAAACTCGCACGCAGCAGCAGAGGCGGATGTACGGGAGCTCCAGAACGCGCCCCCCTACCGACCACGAAGAGCCCACTATATTTGTCAGTCCCGCCAATTTGCCCCCACCACCCAAATATGGTATGCATATATTTTTTTTTATAGCATAGGAAACATTTTAAACATCATAGCATTATGACATACGGTATTTTATTATGGGGCAAAACAGCTGATATAAATATAGTATTTATTTTGCTTGCTCGCTGGAGTAGGCGTTCTAGAGTTGAGACCGCGAATTGGCAAACATAGTGTAGGACGCCCCGCAGCTAGGTGGAGCGACGACATACGTACGGTTGCGGGTAGTAACTGGATGAGAAGGGCTGAAGATCGTGCCTTGGGAGAGACCTATGTCCAGCAGTGGACTGCAGTGGGCTGATGATGATGATGATGATATATTTCGCTTTGCCCACATCGTGAAATTTATAGCCTACATGTTATTCTGATGTGTAACCTATATCACTGTAAAGTTTCATCAAAATCTGTTCAGTAGCTTTTTAGTTGCGTGAAAGAGTAACAAACATTCATCTGTACTCACAAAATTTCGCGTTAATATTAATATGATATTATTTATTAATTTACAATAATAAAGTTAAAAAAAAATCAGAGTAAAAGTGGCCAAACGTTAGGAATCTAATTCTATAAACTTTATGTAATACGTGAACAGTCAGTGAACTCCGGATAGATAGCTTGTTTTGATACTAAGCTGTTATCATCCATTAACCAGAAGAAATTAAAAAATAATGTCATAAAGATAAATAAACAATCGGTAAAGATAAGTTTAAATTATCAACATCTATTCCAATGTATAAATATCCATACGAAAAGTGCTGGAAATCTTTTTAAATGTATAAATAAAACAATTCTTAATAATAATAATCTCAGGATAATTCACACAGCGCCATCTAGACCCAAGATAAGGTAGCTAAAGCTTGTGTTATGGGTACTAGATAACTGATACAAATACATAGATATAATACGTAGAAAACACCCAGACCGATACAAACAATCATACTCATGAATACAAATTTTTGTGCCGTGCGAGGAATAGAACCCGCGACCATCGAACGTAAAGCGGTGTGCTAGACCGCTAGACCACCGAGGTCGTCATTCTTAGTGAATAGAAATATTATATAACCTTAATATTAGAAGGTTATTTTAAACTAAGTTTAACTTTAGGTACCTTTAACTTTTGTTACGCCTGACATTGTCATCGTTTGTAGACCATACAGCTATCTAAATATTTATAACTCAAAGGTGACTGACATAGTGATCTATCAACGCACAGCCCAAGTCACTGGACGGATCGGGCTGAAATTTGGCATGCAGGTAGATGTTATGACGTAGGCATCCGCTATAGGATTTTGATAAATTCTACCCCCAAGGGGATAAAATAGGGGATGAAACTGTGTAATGTACAATTTTTAACCGATCGGGCTGAGACTTTGCATGTATTAAACATAGACTTTTAGACCTAAGTAATCTGAATAAAAAAATATATTCATATCTACAAATAATGATATGTCTCCAATTACAGAAGCATTAGCACCACCAAGTTACGAAGAAGCAGTTGCTGTGAACTATCAAGAGTTCCAGCGAACACAAGCCCAACCTATCACATTCCCATTAACACATGCTGCCATACAGAGCTGCAGCAGTGCTGCAAACAACCCTACCAACGTTACTAGTAACGAAGAACTAACACCACCACCAGCAGTAGTAACCGTTACAACAGTAGATGAAAGAAGAACATCGGTCGCTCAATCATGATTTATATTACGACAATTAGTGTAAGTTAATGATTAGTTTTAAGTGGAGCTTGCAACGATATGCAATACATCGTTATATGCATATATAGCGACTAGTCCTTCATTAGCACCAGTTCTAGTAGTATTACTACTGAAGTATATTGATATACTAGGTGCAGTATGGCTGTTAAATGTATTTGTTAATGCTATAAGATTATCATTATTTTTGATAATTCAACATGAATTATTTACATTGTAAATTTTTGTAACAACAGTTAAAAAGCAGTATTGTGTCTTATTACTATTATATGATGAGGGCTATTAAATAGTTAGCTCAATTGTTGTAATATTAGATGATTAATGAAAAAATAGAGAAATACTTGCAATATATTTATTGTGATGTTATTTCTTTGTAATTTTCTTATATATCTTTTTGCCTAAATGATCTGTCTTTATTAGAGGACGTAAGACTGATCATTTTCCGCCAAATGTTTTAAATATTAATATAATTATCAAATTGTTAAATAGTCTAAACTGATTTGTAGTAGGTATTCAATTATTATTAGTGATTTGTAAGATTTAATTTTGTTAAGAGCATTTGCTCTGTATTGTATTATTTATAGTCATTAGTATATATTTACTATAGAAAAGGACGCTCATAATATTTAAGTTCACATGGAATAATCATTAGTCATGAAATTGTTATTACTCTTGCAATAGTTCTTTATTCATTAAAAATTTAGAAATATTTCTTCGTGTACATTTTTTATATAGTAAAAGCAACTAAATCTGAATAAAACCAGATTATAAATACCTTCAATAGTGTATCTATTCTGTCGTAACCACAAATACTTTCTAGTCAACAGAAACAGTATAAGAACTTGTTATAAAACATGCTATAGTTACTAACTGGATAACCTAATAATCATTTTGTAGTTATCTCTGAAGAATGATATATATTTTAATATTAAAATAAAGAACAATGATTACTGAACGTCGTAAAGAATTTGCGACTGTTATAAACATGTAAATGACGTATATAATCGTATATACTACAAGTAAATGTTCATTGTTTACTTATAGTAGCATCGTTTCTTTCAAACTAGCATTTGAAAGAAACGATGCTAACACTATTAACCAAATCAACTTTAGTCTTCGAATTCTGACATTGCTGTAATTATTAAAACTGATTCTTTTTGTTTAATTGATGAAATATATTTAAATAAATGCAATATTCAAGTTTATGTTCCAAAATAATCAAATAAAATGTATCCATACCACGCTTTCAAAATTTTCCACAAGTAATTGTATGTTTGGATGGATGTGTAGACATACATGTTATAAATTATGAACAGAAATACATAATATTTATTTTACTTATAATAATAATATGTACGTATACAGATACAAAAAAGACTGGTAACAAACAATGTAATTAGTTTTTGATCCGAAATTGTATCACTATTATATTCATAGCGCTAAGTAATGCGTAGTATCCGTTATCTATTTACAATTTTTATCTATAATTTTAATAATATAATGACCAAAGATCTTGAATTTATTACGTATCAGGAAAGTAACGGCTTTTATTGTTTTATAATATTGTTGACATTAATACCTGCATATTTTGAAGCCTGTTATCATATATTGATATTTTATATAGATGACGTTATAGGAAATAGTCTATAAAGGTATAAAGAGAAAGTTTTGATGTTTTTCTTTTATTACAAACATTTGTGCAGCTTGTAAAGAGTATTGCTCTTAGCTATTCCTTCCAAATTTAAGAATTGATTAGAAAATATAAACTATTATTAGTGCCAAATCTAATGGAAAGTTTTCTTTTTAGAAACTTGATTTTTGCAAGCATAGTTTTTGTGTTTGACTGAAGTTTGCATATCAGATATGAACAAGTTAAATTAGTTATGTATATTTTTAATAAACGGGCATTTTATCTAGATACAGATGCGAACGAAATTTTTGATATAATTGTGAAAATATCTATTTATAAAGATTTTAATATAACTTATTAAAGAATTTCGAAGGAGAAATCATAAGTACACTGTAGACCAGAGGTTTTAAAACATTTTTGTGTCGTAGACCCCATGCCATATGTTTCGGTTTTGGATAGACCCCCCATTCTTACCTGGTATTGATTTTTTGTAAATTTCTAACTGTAGTAAAGTTTAGTGTTAAAAACATAAAGTAAAAACAACAAGATGACTGCTGTCGTAGAGCCCTTGCAGTTTATCATAGACCCCTGGGGCTCGATATAGACCACTTTGGGAATCACTGCTGTAGACTAACATTATATCTTTAAAAATATATGACGATTGTTAATTCATATTCCGAACTTTTCGTATACAGAAAGTGAACCCAACTTGTAACTTCTAGAATGTGTTTCCATTGTCGACGTTCAAGAAATGTATGTTTTTTCTAATAGTATATGTAATCTGTGGAGTGATTTAGAGCAATCATATCACTCAATGAACTGTATATAATATATATAAGTAATTGTAATTTATAAAAACCGAAGCTATTTGTATTATTTTACCCTTTTTAGTAATGATTAACTGATTTAGTTGTTATCCGAGTGGAAACTTGAAGAATGACTAATTCTCTTGATTTGATAATAATATTCGTAATAACCCCAGGATAATTAATACAGCGTTATGTACTCTCAAGCTAAGCAGAGCTTGTTGCATGGCTACCACACAAGGACATATACGTAATGTAATACCCATAATGTACTTAGAAAACACCCGAACCAATACAGATAATCATCGAAATTTTAATACTGTGCGAGAAATCGATCCCGCGACTATCGGAAATAAAACTAAACCGCAATACAACCGAGGGAACAAAGTAAAAATAGATCTGTATAAGAAGAGAGAGAACAAATGTAGACTATATACAGAGTTGTTTAAGTGTGTATGTCTCAATTTTTTTAGGCAGCAAGCCGCTTGCTTCGTAATCTGTGTTTTGGTTCAAGAGTGAGATGTGACAGTAAAAATACAGGGTACAGAGAAAAGACACGTTAGTCATTCAGAAAGGCAATCCTTGATTGTATTAACCCGGTCGTCACATGTTGAGGCGATAACCATAGTGCTGTCAAATGCTCCTGTATAAGCGACGGTTGATTCATTAGGTTGGTCTTTAGTATATATTTTAATTTAATTTACATAGAAAATGGAAAATTTCAAATAAATTCTGGTATCAAGTAACTTGGTCAAAGTGGTTGTAGTAGATTAGTCTAGTCTTTTTTTAAGGACCGAATCCCGTGGATTCAAAAACAAAACCGATTGGCTAACATTCAAATTAGCATATGGTGCTATAATATGGTTTATGGCAACAAAGAGGCATTCTGGCTTATATTTGCCATACGAAGACGGGGTAACTAGTATTGCGGCTGGCAACGGCAGTGAAATAGGGTAATATAAATAAAATTACTTACCAAAATTATAGTGATGTATTTAGTGGTAGCGTATATGACACAATGTAGCAAAACAATATAATAAAAAATATATGTCAAAATTGTATATAAAAATATATGGTTTAAAAATAGAAATATCTATAAAAAGAGGTCTGTCGCCAACATGGCACGCCCCGGTGTAGAGCACCAATCTATAGTGGCGACTGTGCGCAGTTTTCTTGGGTGCCCTGCTCTAGGAGTAAGGGCAACACTTTGCGCACTGGTCTTTTCAAGATCCCCATGCTTCCCCGGATCTCCACCACCCTGACCACTCCGTCAGGACCGGTGAATATCTTAGAAATACGGCCTTTGGGCCAGGTTCCTCGCGGAAGATTTGGATCCGCCACCAGAACTGGATCTCCCACTTTGAATTTGGCTTGCGTCGATCCGGCCTTTCGTGGAATCAACGTGGGTAGGTATTCATGAAGCCATCTGGCCCAAAACAGCTCCGCTAACCGCAGTACCTTCCTGTGGTCTAAGCGACGGCAAAGATCTGCATCGGTGCGGGGACGGACCAACTCGGTTGATGGTGTGCCCAATAAAAAATGGAAGGGTGTGAGGGCCTGTAGTGTCTCCGGCTCTACTGGTACGTGTGTCAGCGGGCGAGAATTGACTACTGCTTCCGCTTCCAGAAGTAGGGTACTCAATACTTCCTCTCTTGGAGCTTGTTCTTTCAGGGTTACGGAAAGCGCAGACTTTATTGATCGCACTAAGCGTTCCCACGCACCTCCCATTGATGGTGCCGCTGGACAAATGAAGACCCACTCTATTTTATGGTTGGCCGCGAAGTCGAAAACGTCTGTGAGTTGGTTGGCTGCGCCGACAAAAGCCGTGCCGTTATCTGAGATGATTCTCGCTGGACATCCTCTACGAGCAATAAATCTTCTTAGGGCCATGATAGCAGCATCTGCGGAAAGGCTTCCTACGATCTCCAAATGAACGGCTCTGATGGTAAGGCATGTGAATAGAGCTACCCAGCGTTTTTCTCGTCTGCGCCCAACGGCAACTTCAACTGGACCGAAGTAATCAAGACCGCAGAAGGAAAACGCGCGCTGATGATGGGATAACCTATCTTCAGGAAGATCACCAAATTGAGGCGTAGATGGGAGAAGCTTCCTAATCCTACAGAAACTGCATTGTTTGGCAACAGACCTGACACTTGGGCGTAAAGCTATTATATAAAATTTGCCGCGCAGGAAGTTAACGACGGTCTCGATATTACCATGACCAAATTTCCGATGATAGTGATCGAGAAGGAGTTTTATAATTGGATGTTTACCGTCTAAAACAATAGGGTTAATGTCCTGCGCGGGTGCATCTAATACAGCACGAATTCTTCCATTTAAACGGATTAAACCGTCTTCTCCCAACATCAACACAAGACCTCTAAGCCTCCCTTGATTAGTTGGGGGAAGACCCGCGGTAAGCCTCAAGAATTCGTGTTTAAATGATTCCAATTGAGTATATAAAAATAGGTGCCTCTCGGCCTCCAAGATTTCTGCGGCCGAAAGAGGTTTCAAAACTTTGAAGGAGACCTTGGAGGCAGCACTCTTTAATTTTGAATTTGGAGGTTTTTTCAAAAGCGACCGAAATATTTTAGCACAATGATGTGCACGAGCGGTTGCTCTAACCAACCGAACCCAACGACCGAAATGATCGTGATTCGCTACGATCGGAGATGGCATTTCCGGATGTTCGGTTAGCAAAAATGTTAACGCGTGTTCGGGTTTTAGTTCCTCAATTACTAGTGGAGCAATGACCGCAGGCTCGCGAGGCCATTCGTCTGGTGGAGACAAAAGAAAATCTGGGCCAGTATACCATCGAGAGGAAGAGGAAAGAGAGTATAGACCGCGTGTAGCATCATCTGCTACATTTAAGGCCGATGGAACATAACGCCAATTGGCAACGTTTGTAGTCTCTAATATTTCTCCTACACGGTGAGCAACAAACGGCTTAAACGTGCGGGCATCGCTACGCAACCACTTTAAAACTGTTAGGGAATCCGTCCAAAAGAAAACTCTAGAAGCAACAAGACGGTGTGCCTCCAGGATGTAAGTTGCGAATCGAGAAGCCATGAGAGCCGCCTGTAACTCGAGCCGTGGGATAGACACAGGCTTTAAAGGGGCTAGGCGCGCTTTTCCACCTATAAGAGCCAAATGAACAGATTGGTCCTGGTGGACAAAACGCCAAAACGCCACACAAGCGTAAGCGGATTCACTTGAGTCGGCTAGGACGTGGAGCTGGCATTCCGCAGCAAATCTGGTTCGGTAACAGCGTGGTATTTTAATTTTGGCCGAGACTTCTGCTATACCGGCGAACCAAGTCTGCCACTTTGCCTTAGCAGAGGCGGGCAACTCCTCGTCCCAGTCAATACCCATTCTCCATGTTTCCTGAAATAAGATGCGACCGGCGATGGTTAGTGGCATCAAAAATCCAAGAGGATCGTAAACCTTCATGAGATGGGACAAGACTACTCTTTTTGTCACACTGGTAGGCAGTTCTGTGGACTTTCTAAAATTAAGAGTATCTTCCTTGATGTTCCAGGCCACCCCTAAAATTCTAACTTGCGAAGGAGATGTCGGTCCGAGACCTACCTCGGATGTGTCGGCAGCCCACAAGTCAGGACTTATTGTTGTAAGCGCTTTGGGGTTGTTGGATACCCATGAGCACATCTCTAAACAGGCTGCTTTATGCACGGTAACGATATCTGCAACTAATCGAGCGGCGAGTTCTGGGCTGTCTACACTTCCAAGGTAGTCGTCCATGTAATGGTCTCTAACAATAGCCTCTGCTGCTTCGGGAAACTTAGTCTGGTGCTCTAAAGCATTTTTATTTTTTAGAAAAATGGCGGTGCACGGACTGGAGGTGGCGCCGAAGATCATGGAAGACATTCTATATTCTGCTATAGGTAGAGAAGGATCGTCTCGCCAGAGAAAACGTTGTGCATCTCTATCTTGTGCCCTAATTTTTGTTTGCGGGAACATTTCACGAATGTCTCCGTTGAGGGCTACCTCACCTTCCCTAAAACGCATGAGAATTCCTAATAAGGGTTGTAAGAGGTCAGGACCAGGGAGTAGCAGAGAATTTAGGCTAACTCCTGAACATTTAGCTGCGGCATCATGAACGAGCCTCAGCTTTTTCTTTTGGGGGTGATATACTCCAAAATGAGGCAAATACCATAAATTACCTAAAGGAGGTACATTAGTACAAAGCTCTGCGTAATCTTTCTCTATCATCCCATTTATATACTGTTTATAAGCTTCGGCATAATTTTGATCCTTTTTAAACTTTCTTTCTAAACTATGAAATCTGGATAAAGCTAATTTATAACTGTTGTCGATGACATTTCGCGCCCTAAGCCCATAGAAAAGGCTCGCACGCATGTCACGACTAATGTCAGCTCAGACGAAAGTCCGAGTGACATATGTTATGCCACCGCCTCACACTCCATAGCTCGTATGTTGTCAAAAGGCAAAATTACTCCATCTACGGCCGCAGTTAATAACAATAGGCCCTCAAATTCTCCCTCTATTGCTTATTGTTTATACTGTCAAAAGAATGGTCATGAAGTCTCAAATTGTCATTTATTTAAAAATATTTCTGTTAATGAAAGATGGGATTGGGTTAAAAATAATAAAGTTTGTCAAAGATGTCTCAAGCGGGGCAAACATTATTATAGGACTTGCAAAGGTAACTGTAGGGTAATAAATTGCAAAGGTGGATATTACCATCATGATTTACTTCACAAACAGTTAACAAATTCTGTTCATTACAGTTCAACAATAACTGGCGAACGTGAAGTAAGTTCGGAGAGTGAAGTCGCACCAGTAATTGTGGCCCACGCTCACGGCAGCAGTGCGATATCATGCGAGACGCCCTCTCCTTCGCGCTCACTTCTTAAAGTGCTGCCGGTAACTGTAACTGGACCAAAGGGTGAGATGGATATTTATGCTTTATTGGATGACGGTTCTACAGTTACTCTGATTGACCAAATAGTAGCTGACACAATCGGTGCACAAGGGCCGAAAGGCACTATTCAAGTTAATTGTGTGGGCGGCTTGGCGAAAGATTCTGTAGTAACCTACATTGATATTAACATCAAAGGCAAGCACTCTGTCGAAACCTTTAATTTAAAACGAGTTCGCTCAATACCTAATTTGGGTGTAGCATGCCAAACAATTCGTACTGTAGATGTTGCAAAGTTCTCTCATCTTCAGGATTTGGTAAAAGAACTGTCTTACGAGGGAGCCAAGCCTCTCTTAATAATTGGTATTGACAATTGGCATTTGTCGTTACCGCATGGCTTGCGGCTGGCAACGGCAGTGAAATAGGGTAATATAAATAAAATTACTTACCAAAATTATAGTGATGTATTTAGTGGTAGCGTATATGACACAATGTAGCAAAACAATATAATAAAAAATATATGTCAAAATTGTATATAAAAATATATGGTTTAAAAATAGAAATATCTATAAAAAGAGGTCTGTCGCCAACAACTAGTAAAGCACGAAATCCTATTAAATCACTCTGTCTATTCCTAAAAACTGCATTAAAATCCATTGCGTAGATTAAAAGATCTAAGAGAACAGGCATTGGAAGCAATTTCATTTTATACTATGTAAATATGATATCTTTACATTTTCAATAATCCACTTTATACATTGAATCACCTACAATAAATATAACTTTAATAGTTTTATACCTTTTTTCTTTCAATTGCTCTAAATATTGATGATGTAGTAAATATAGATGTAAAGCATTTATTTATCCTCAGGAATAAATAAATGCTTCACATCTATAAGTAACAGTTAGCACTCTTAAAAAGCTACCCCATCTGCTTTAAAAACCTATCGGTAATCTGTGAAACGCAGGCAAATGGTAGATGGTATTATGTTTACTTACTCGTTGATCATTAGCAAAGTGATACAAATATGACAATTATATTTAAACACAGTATTTGTCTCTAGATGGCGTTGTGTAAAGCAAAATAAGTGGGTCGCCAATTCTAGCTGCAATAATTGTAATTGTTAGTGTTTCTCACTGTGATCTATTTATAATGCATTTAAAATCAATAAAATTAATAATAAATGATAGACCGTGTTGAGAGAAAGAAAAGAAGTTTTTATTTTATTTTTAATTACAATTATTTTATGGCTTTTATACAAAAAGAGGTTTCATGTGCTAACAGTAATGTGTTTTTAATTATCCATGATTAGCATTGCTGGTGCTTGTGGGGACTAGTCTGTGCGGGTTACGAACACTGATTAGACCTTTTGGTTTTGCTATAGCATATGCTGTTGGTCATTATTCTCCCAAATTTGAATTTAAAAATGAATCTGTATTATTGTAAACATTTACTACATTTATGTGAAAAGAATACGAGCTTAGGTTTTTGTCAGTTCTTCTCTGATTTGACATATCATAAGAGTCTGTAATATAACTACATGAATAAAGATATTTTGATTTTTGAAATATTTAATAGTCTCTTAAAATAGTAAACATAAAAATCTTAATAGACAAAATAAAATTCTTATTGCAGTTTGTCTTAAACTACCTTATTTCTTTTCATTTCTTACGTAGAACATTAGCGGTAGACCTCCAACAATACCCTGTGCTATTTCAGACATAGGATCTATAATTGGTATTCGCCTGGACTCCGGAGCAGGCTTCACGGTAAACTTGGACAGTATCGCTGCTACTCCGGCCATGGTTTGCATCAGTCCAAGACGACTACCTGAAAATTTTACAATTTTCAATTAACAAAAAGGAAAAAAGTTTCTTGCGATTTGTGCTCATAGTTGGTTTTTGCCATAACCTGTGGATAAAATGGAGATACATTGATATCTGTAGTTTTATTTACACCAGAATTTGACTGACAATATATTTGAAAATGTTTCTTGTCTTTGTAAAATAGCAGTTTATATATTGCTATGGTGTTGTTAGGTTTATTAATAAAATATCATTAGTGATATTTAAAGTCTCTCCTGTTTTAATTATTATACGAAATATATATAATTACTGTATATTTTGCAAATTTGACTGACTTATTGTATGCTCTTGGAGCAGAAAACACTTTAATTATTTTTCACATTCTTTTATTATATGAAAAAAATTTAAAGTAACTAAACACTAAACGTGATCCACAATAAAGTACAACTTTTTTCATTTTATGACTGAATAGTGAAATGTTATTACGTACCTATACAATTGCGCGGTCCATTACCAAATGGTAAAAATACATCTTTGTTTTCCTCTTCATTGCGGAATCTTTCAGGGCGATAATCTTCAGGTTTGTCCCAATATTTAGAATCCATGTGTAATGCTTGAATTGGAATCATAACATTAATTCCTTTATCGATCGTTAAGCCTAGATCTTCAATAGTATAACTTTTAGCGCACTGCCTGGAAACAAAACCAAGTGACGGAAATATCCTCATTGCTTCCTTTATTGCCATTTTTAAATAATTCATCTCATTAACTGCTTCAAAAGAGAGCTTATTATCATATTTAGCTAGAACTCTATCGATGTCATCTTGGACATTTGCTTGCTCCTCTGGATGGAAGGCCAATAAATTTAATGTCATACTCGATGTAGTGGCTGAAGTCTCAAATCCAGCTCCGAAAAACATTGCAAGCTGAGCCATGAAAACATCATCATCAAAATTAATAGTGACTAGTTCAGGTGTACCGTCGTCTTTTTTCCTTTCAATCGATTCCATTTCCACAGATTCCAAATTTTTTATTGCAAGCATCAAATCGACGAAATCGTTTCTTCCTATCGGCTGATAATTTCTAGCTTTTTGAATGTTTTCTGAAAGTATTTTTACATCTTTTTCAACCCTGAAGAAGTACTTAAGATTTTTACAAAGCTCTGGAAACATATCCTTGAGCACAGCAACTAAGGCGTCGCCTATTCTGAGTTCAACAAATTTCCTACCTAATTTCCGAAAGTCTGAATTGTCGTCATTTAGAGAATCTGATTCTAAACCGAAACCGCAAGCACCGATGAAGTCAGTAGTATATCTTGCCATCAATTCCTTTGCATCATAAGTTTTTCCACTGGCAGCAACTTCAAAAGTCCGTGATTGTAGTTTTTCTGCACGCTCCACAATCAATGGAAACATGGCTTTTAATTTAGTACTCGTAAAAGCTGGTGTCATACGCATTCTTAACATCTTCCATAAGTCACCCTCTGCTGCAAATACGTTTCGCAGAAGCGGCTCCATCACTTTCGTATACGGTATAAATCCACGATAAAAGAATGAGCCAAAGTCTGTAACAAGTATACGTTTCACCAGCTCCGGATCTCTGACTATCAACTCCGGTCGCGTTCCTCTGTAGAACCCAATTAACCTCTCATTAGGGTACTTATTGTATAGCTCTCTAGTAATTTGCACTTTACTTTTACGCAGCAATAATCCATCCATGTTGTTTCCGAAAAAAACCACCGGCTTGTCATGTTTAACGCCTTTCTTTTCCCAGTACTTAAAAGACCTTGTATTGTAGAAATATAATACGACAAAAGTCAAAAGTATAATTACCAACGTTATCATTTTATTTAAAATTGAAACTGTCTTTGGTTGTGATGTTTTTAATTTGTGATCCAAACTAGTTGTGATCAAAACACAGATCGTACGTATGCTATCGACCTTGTATAACAATTACCCAAACGAGTCTGTGGATTAGGGTTCACGATTCTGATATTTTGTGATATCGATGAAAATCGATTTGTATTTCGATTGCCAAACGAATTCGATTAAGATATAGTAACTTAACAATTTACGAGATGCAACGTTAAGGATCTTATGAAATCTTGAAATCCGAACTTACAAATAAATATATTAGAGACTAGCTATTCCCGCAACTTTGTCCGCGTGGAATTTAACTTTATTTTTCTAAAATAAAAGTAGCCTAAGTTACCCCTTATTATATCAGCTAACTGCCAATAAAAGTCCCGTCAAAATCGGTCCAGCCATTTCAGAGCATTTCATCTCTTTGCAATAACTATAGTAAAATCTTTACAAACATTAATCGAATACTCGAGGTATACGATTAATAGATTTATACATATAATCTTTGCAGTTTGTATGGCATACCTCTTCGCAATAACTATAGTATAATCTTTACAAACATTAATCGAATACTCGAGGTATACGATTAATAGATTTATACATATAATCTTTGCAGTTTGTACGTCCCTATGGCATACCTCTTCGCAATAACTATATGCTAATCTTTACAAACATTAATCGAATACTCGAGGTATATGATTAATCGATTTATACATATAATCTTTGCAGTTTGTACGTCCCTATGGCATACCTCTTCGCAATAACTATAGTCTAATCTTTACAAATATTAATCGTATCCTCGAGGTTTACGATTAATCGATTTATATATGTAATCTTTGCAGTTTGTACGTCCCTATGGCATGTTACTTCGCAATGACTATAATGAGCATCTGAATTTGAGCACTATTCATTTTGAAATAAAGACTATACTCTCTTTTAGGTACATAAAATTATATTATATCACGAGATAATGAGTCTGTGTTAATAATTGTATGGGATTACGTAACAATAAATTTTTAACATACCGAACCCCGTGGATATAAGTAAATAAATAATCTTAGACAATTAACACAGCGCCATCTAGTCCCAAGATACGCATAGCTCGGGTTATGGGTACTAGACAAATAATATAAATATTTAGATATTTTTTTATATCCAGGTAGTCTATCATGGTATGGGCATGTAATGCGTAGGAATGAAGATCATATCCGAAAGGTGTTATGAATGTGGATGGTTATAAGGGCAGAGGAAGGCCGAAAAAGAGATGGATGGACTGTGTGAAAGATGATATGGTGAGAAAGGGAGTAAATAACGAGATGACTGCGAACAGAGATGTATGGAAGAGAAAAACATATTTCGACCACAAATAAATGGGATAAGGAAGATGCAGATGACAATGTAGCACGCCTTACTTCCAAAGGTCGCGGGTTCGATTCCTCGTACGGTACAAACATTTGTAGTCATGAGTAAGATTGTTTGTATCGGTCTGGATGTTTTCTATGTATAATATGTATGTATTTACGAAAAAAAAATATATATGTATATGTATCAGTCATCTAGTACCCATAACACAAGCTTTAGCTACACTAACTTGGGTCTAGATGGCGCTGTTTGAATTGATATATTATTATTGATATTAATTATTAGAATAAATAGCTAATAATTGCAAATTGCTGATGTTTTTTTCCTGTACAGTAAAGAATAGAGATATAGAAATAATCTATGCCCAACAGCATCAGAGTAGTCCGAAAAAAAAAATATATATGATCAATATACGGTTGTAATCTTATAACTTCTACACTAACACCAGCTTTAGCTATCTTAACTTGGGTCTAGATGGTGCTGTGTGAATTGTCCTGAGATTATTATTATCATTTATTCATTTACTTTATTTATACGTACTTACTTTTATTTATTTTCATGTTATTTTCTTAATAATGCACCGCACTAAAATCTGTTTACCTCATGGTCGACTGGGAGCAAATGCCTTATGGTGTTAAGTCCTCTATTTACACCTTTATTTTTGTATTTGTTCATTAAAGTTTTAATAAATAAATAAATCTAAATCTATATAACTCAAAGGTGACTGACGTAATGATCTATCAACGCACAGCTCAAACCACTGGACGGATCGGGCTGAAATTTGGCATGCAGGTAGATGTTATGACGTAGGCATCCGATAAGAAAGGATTTTGATTAATTCTACCCCCAAGGGGATAAAAGTTTGTATGAAACTTTGTCAATTTTAAACCGATCGGGCTGAGACTTTGCATGCATAAACCTACTACGACGTAGGCATCCTCTAAGAAAGGATTTAGATAAATTTCACCCCTAAGGGGATAAATTAACGCGAGCAAAGTCGCGGGCAAAAGCTGGAATAATATACCTTCCAAACTGTAAAAAAATTGCTGAAATCGGTGCAATGATTTCGGAGTCTACTTTCCTTTGACTTTCGTCGTGACAAAATCCTTTCTCTTTGTAATATTATGTTATCTGTGGTAATAGTATAGAAAAATAAAATACATTAACAAATTAAAATATAAAAAAAAATATCTTTATTATTATTATCTGTGTTACATATAATTATAAACTATGACCGGGATTATCTTTTTATAATAACTAGACAAAGTTAAACACATTTTGTTATGAATAAAAAAAACATCTATTCAAAAGAGCAGCACACAAGTTTCTTGCTCATTCTTCTTGTGATGAGTCTGCGTTCCGAATGAGTAGTAAAATCAAAATATGACTATTCAAAAGTGCTTGTAATGAGTTTATTTGAATAAATATTATTTCTATGTCTATTTCTATGAATTTAACTTTATTTTTCTACAATAAAAGTACCCAAAGGTGCCAAAATAAGTCCCGCACAATCGGTCCAGTCATTTCAGAGATTGGCCAGGACAAACAGGCGGACAGACAAAAATTATAAATAATGTCATTTTCGTGTATGTACTGTATGTATATTCATATGCATGTAGTAAAAAACGGTTATTTCAATATTACAAACAGACAATCCAATTTTATTTATATATACATAGATATACATAAAATAACATTAAGAAGAATTCAAATGTTCACTGCGAATGAAGTCGCGGGTACAGCTAGTATATATACATATATATGGTCTGAAAAGATATGTGTTTATCACACGTAGGTATGTATATATTTGATAAACGATGTCTTCATAAGTCATCAGTCATTTTAACCGACATCAATAAAGGAGAGGTTATCAATTCAACCACACATAAAGATAAATGCACTGTACAATCGAAATACTGTGATGTCATTCCATTAAGTTAATTAATTCATATCTTTTCGTAATCCGTCATACTCGTGAACGAGTGCTTGCTCTGTTCGATGATTAGACTATTTCGTTTTGATTGCAATAGCATATGCTGTTGGTCAGTATATTATACTTAATGTTAGTATTTAAAAATTAAGTTGTTTTTTTGTAATCATATACAAGCTGATTTGAAGACAATAACAGCTGAGTTCCTTCTCATTTCTTCTTAGCTCGAAAGCACTACAAAAGTATATTTTTTTGTATAATTTCAAGAAGATATCAGCATTCTGCACTCCTTCTCTATATCATTTCATTATATAAAACAAAGTCACTGTCTATCCGTCCCTATGTATGTTTAAATGTTTAAAACCACAACGATTATGAAGCTAAGTTTCTTGAATATAAAGATTTGGCTTCACGTATTAATACATAGATAATTCTACTCCTAATAGATCAATAAATCAAGAAATAGTATCAAATTTTATGATCTCATTAAAAATTATTTCATATATATTCGTTTCATTTATAAGATATATATGTTTATATTTTAAACATAAGTAGAAATAGTATCAAATATTATAATCTCATTAAAATTATTTCATATAGATTCGTTTCCTATATATGATATATATATTTTAAACATAACTAGAAATAGTATCAAATTTTATGACCTCTTTAAAAATAATTTCATATAAACTCGTTTCTTTTATAAAACATTAAAGGTAGGCCTCCCTCTACACCTTGCACTATTTCAGACTTAGGGTCTATTATCGGCTGCAGCCTGGACTCCGGTGCTGGTTTCACTGTGAACTTGGATAGTACTGCTGCCAACCCAGCCATGGCTTGCATGAGGCCTAGACGACTACCTGAAAATGGAAGTTTAAATTACTAACCTTATGTCGTTGAAACTTAATTTAGAAACACACACACAATTATTTAAAATATTAATTAATTTATAGTATTTATAACAGAGTGAATCGAGTATTACACAATAGAAATAGAAACAATCTTTATTCAAATAAACTCATTACAAGCACTTTTGAATAGTCATATTTTGATTCTACCACTCATTCGGAATGCAGATTCATCACAAGATGAATGAGCAAGAAACTTGTGTGTTGCTCTTTTTAATAGATGTTTTTTATATAAATAATAATTACAGTATAACGAATAAAAGGCTTGCGATAATCAACATAGAAATCGCTACGCACTCATTATTAGTGTAATGAGATAAACAAATTAAAATTCGAAAAATTCACAATTCAAAATTCAAAAATCTATCAAAAATAATCAAAAATAAATATAATAAAAATTATGAACTATCTCTTATCCGATAATTTCACTGCCTAGTTCCATCCTTCAACCGTAACATACAAAGAAGCTACCATACGGCTAGACGTAATACTTGACTTACAAAAAAAATATTGAAAATGTTTCCATTTTCAATATTTTTTGCAATGTTTGTTTATACTCAATAAACGGAAAAATACTCGATAGATTAAAAAAATCACCTAAGATAGCTACTTATCAGCTAGTACAGGCTGCATTGCAGTTCCGGATACAGATAGCCGCGTGATAAAATGAGAATCACATATTTATAGAGTTTAATTTATTATCACAAATATATTGTGATTTGTTTATTTTTAAATATTATTATTTGATTTATATTCTGGGATAACAGTCAGTTAATTATATACCAGATATATTTTACCAGCAAGTCTGACCAAAAAGGTCAATTCATAGGTACCTCAGTC